CATTACAGTTGTGGCTGGAGTGAACGGCTTCACTAACCCGTAAGAATCTTGTAACTTACAATAAGTGCGATGTGACTCATAGACTCATATTGAGAAAATATTTATCATAAAACCAGAATAAGAAATACAGTTTGAAGGATCACAAACTAATTATAAAATTCATCAACCATCGTCGAACAAAACCTGGTGAAGTGGGACGAGGTAATTATTGCTCCACTCACCTGTCAGGTGAAGATGAAATGCCTCTGACACGTCGACTATCCTCATGAAATTGGTGAAATATGGCAAGCAAAGTCCCTAGAACTTTATTTATTTCATTCACACAAAGTGTACCCAAAATTTGCCAGTGCAGGCTATTAAACATATGGCCCTGTATCACTAACCATCCTGCGAGATGGGGACTTGTATTACCACTGCTACCTTATTCAATCTTGTATTGATTATATCCTCAAAATGCTTGCGGAGTCTACCAGTGCAGACCGCTTATCACATGCCTCTGTATGACTAACCATCCTGTGTGATGGGGATTTTATAGCATCACCTAGTTAGCTTTTTTGACACACTGTACTCCACTTCATATAGTCTAGGGTAGCTGCACTAATGCAGATGTACCTAATGTATTAATAAAATAAAATGGAATATATGGAGAATCGAAACAACTGAGCTCCCAAACGTGTATCCCATTTAATAATAAAGTCACCCACCTCCCACACGCTGAACGAGGAGTTATGGTAAAAGTCAAACAAACCACAAACTTTCGTGTCCTTCTATACGTGCCAAGGAACAGAAGTTAATCCTGTCTCTTTCTTCACTTTACTGTGTAAAGCCACGTGTAGGAACCTCCTTTCCGAAGTGGAAGAGAGATGCAGGGAGGGGAGGAATATGTGAGAGGTATGAGGGGGGGTTATGTGAGAGGTATGAGGGGGGGTATGTGGAGATATGAGGGGGGTTATGTGAGAGGTATGAGGGGGGGTATGTGAGAGATATGAGGGGGGGTTATGTGAGAGATATGAGGGGGGGTTATGTGAGTGGTATGAGGGGGGAGGAATATGTGAGAGGTATGAGGGGGGAGGAATATGTGAGAGGTATGAGGGGGGGGAGATATGTGAGAGGTATGAGGGGGGGGGAGATATGTGAGAGGTATGAGGGGGGGTATGTGAGAGGTATGAGGGGGGGTATGTGAGAGGTATGAGGGGGGGTATGTGAGAGGTATGAAAGGGGGGGGGAGAAACTGGTGTTGTAAAGAACATAGGCAGATGCTGAAGAACAAGATAAAGGTGATCTTGCCTCTAACCATGGACAGAGATCGAGACATTTCCGTTTTATATAGAGATATTATATAATTTTTTGCTTATATGCATAGTATACATATCCCATTTGATGGTCACCAGTTAGCAGATAATGAGAGTTAATTAAGTAAATCACAAGTAAATGCTGGCAAGACAGTTACTCCACAGAGGTTAACCTAAGCCAACACAGCTTCCTGTTGACAGTATCAACACGACCATTTAAAGTCACGTCTATCAGGTGAACGGCATCAATTTTATATAACATGCAAATAACTTTCTCACTCGCATCATCCAGGTGCTTGCGGCAGTTCATCACGAATGACTAATTATCCAGTTCAGTTTAATAGACGAGATACAAGAACCATTACTGGAAATTTATTACAGCAGCGCCACTATTTAGAATTTGCTTGAATGCGTGATCGTATAATTCTCAAGAATAACAAAGAGACCGCTGTTACCTGCCAAGCATGATGACAAACCCATCAGGTTGGGAACAAACTCGTGTCACAGCCAGACATTCTCGCAAGATGAGAAAACGTTTGGCTATTGACACAGGCTCAGGCTATGTTTATATTTACTCATGTGGAAGGTGGCCGCAGACTTGGGAGGGAGGTGATCTGGAGGTCCTCGTGAGCCGCTCCTCTCTCCCTCCCTATAAGCTCATCAATAGTTCACCACAGATGTTAATTAGTTAGTTGTGTACGTGTGTTGTCTCCTAGACGTTCTCGCACGGATGAGCTCCACTTATAGCCTTCTGTTTGCACGCGTTTGTGTATTCACCAAGTTGTGCTTGCGGGGGTTGAGCTCTGCTCTTTCGGGCCGCCTCTCAACTGTCAATAAATCAACTGTTACTAACCACTAACAAATATTCTCCCCCCCCCCCCGCCCTCACACACACACACACACACTCAGGAAGCAGGGTGTAGCAGCTGTCTAACTCCCAGGTACGTATTTACTGCTAGGTGAGCAGGGGCACCAGAGTGAAAGAAACTTTGCCCATTTGTTTTCGCCTCCGCCGGGGATCGAACCCGGGCCCTTAGGACAATGACTCCAGAGCGCTGTCTACTCAACCATGAGGCCCCCAACTAGAAAGCTACACAACTAGCTAGTTACAGATCACACGTGACGTGGGGTAGACCCCTAGCTTGGACCTGGCAGCAAGAACAATGGACGTGACACAGTGACACAACATTTGGACAAGACGATCATTATTGAAGCTTAGATGTATAATCATGTTAACTGACAACGCGAGCAGCTTTCCTCTTTACTCTAATGAAAACTGTTGTAGATGTAGAGCTGAACTAGACGAGAACAGTATAATAAAGAGGGGTACAGGAGGTTATCTTGAGATGATTTCGGGGCTTTAGTGCCCCCGCGGCCCGGTCCTCGACCAGGCCTCCACCCCCAGGAAGCAGCCCGTGACAGCTGACTAACACCCAGGTACCTATTTTACTGCTAGGTAACAGGGGCATAGGGTTAAAGAAACTCTGCCCATTGTTTCTCGCCGGCGCCTGGGATCGAACCCAGGACCACAGGATCACAAGTCCAGCGTGCTGTCCGCTCGGCCGACAGGAGGAGTTACTCGAGATATGAGAGCAGTGATCTGTAAGATTAACTTTCACTAACATGTCTTAAAATTTCTCTCTTAGTTCTCCACTAATATAAAATATAAATAAGAAATATATATATACGTGTGTCGCCGTGAGGGGTCGTCAAGGCCACTCACTCCCATTCCTGTTTTGGAGCATCAAAGGAAATTTTCTTCTTCATCTTCGTATTTTTGTCCCTAGGAATTGCCAGTCTAAACTTTAAACGATTGGAAATGTTTGATGGAGGCGGCGATGGTGTGAGGTCGCACTCCACCCTCCATCTATCAAGTATTTTCTTGCAGTCACCCTTGTGTCAACTGCAACTTGTAAGTCGCAATATTTTTATTTAACAAAATACAATTTCAGTTTTAGAAAATGTGTCAGAAACACATTTAGGGCTTCTAATACATTAAAAAGTTCTTCGGTATAGGAGGACGTATAAATAACAAGAAATGTTTTATATAAATGTTTGCCTCTTGCAAATACTTTACATATCTTGAGAAGAAACAAAATATAATTCAAGTATCAATTTAAGAGGCCATTTGAAGACAATATATGATACAAGTGTTATGATGTAAAATAATTTCGTAGATGTCACCTCGACACTTCAAATACCATCTAATAAGAAGGGGAAGAAAACTCACAGTAACGTTAAACGACTGTCACCAAGTACAAGGGAGGCCTCGTAGCCTGGTGGTTAGCGCGCAGGATTCGTAATTCTGTGGCGCGGGTTCGATTCCCGCACGAGGCAGAAACAAATGGGCAAAGTTTCTTTCACCCTGAATGCCCCTGTTACCTAGCAGTAAATAGGTACCTGGGAGTTAGTCAGCTGTCACAGGCTGCTTCCTGGGGGTGGAGGCCTGGTCGAGGACCGGGCCGCGGGGACACTAAAGCCCCGAAATCATCTCAAGATAACCTCAAGATAAGAAGCAACGTTAGATAAATAGACAGCTTAGAGCGTATGTAATAATTAATAACAAATAATATGCTATTTTCAGACAGCTTATGCCTCCACAAGGTAGAAGAGAGCTATAATTCCCTCTCAAACGTTGCCTTGACATTTGTCTAAGACAGCTTGGGGAAGACGTCTTAAAGACAGCTTCGGAAAGACGTCTTTAAGACAGCTTCGGAAAGACGTCTTTAAGACAGCTTCGGAAAGACGTCTTTAAGACAGCTTCGGAAAGACGTCTTAAAGACAGCTTCGGAAAGACGTCTTAAAGACAGCTTCGGAAAGACGTCTTTAAGACAGCTTCGGAAAGACGTCTTTAAGACAGCTTCGGAAAGACGTCTTTAAGACAGCTTCGGAAAGACGTCTTTAAGACAGCTTCGGAAAGACGTCTTTAAGACAGCTTCGGAAAGACGTCTTTAAGACAGCTTCGGAAAGACGTCTTTAAGACAGCTTCGGAAAGACGTCTTTAAGACAGCTTCGGGAAGACGTCTTTAAGACAGCTTCGGAAAGACGTCTTTAAGACAGCTTCGGAAAGACGTCTTTAAGACAGCTTCGGAAAGACGTCTTTAAGACAGCTTCGGAAAGACGTCTTTAAGACAGCTTCGGGAAGACGTCTTAAAGACAGCTTCGGGAAGACGTCTTAAAGGTACTTGAAGGCTGCCAACTCCTCATCTTGTGACACATTATCTTGTAAGTCGGCAGCCGTCACATTTGAGGCGTCAAGGTGATATGAACGAAAATATTTCACATTGTGGGTAGTTGACTTTCTGTTGCTGCCGCATGGTTGTAAATGCTTGGCCAAGTATGTAGTGGAGGTGTAGGAAGTATTATTATTGTGATAGAATTATCCTAGATTTCAGTTTCGTAAAGAACAGGACAATTCGCTTACTATATTCGTTTTCTCTAATAGCAAAATATATATTAAATTTTAACTTTTAATATTTCCTTTTTCGATTTCAGCATATGTCTAGTCATGTGTGAATTGTACGCCACAAACAATATTTTACCAAAATATTTGTAAATTATTCTAATATACACACACTGATAAATATGTTGGCAATGAATTTTAAATTCGAAAAAATGCTCAACCTTTAATGAAAAGCAATGTACAGAGCAGCTACAAGAAGTCGACTGGTACACATCCTGTCTAACACCAACACAACGTGGGTCATTTTAATCAATTTTCTTCTTCAAGTTAAAAGAATAAGCAACCCACATCCTGCAGCGAGGTGAGAGTAGCTTGCGCAGGCCACACAAGAGGAGGAGGACTGCCAGAGAGAGGCAAGCCAGGACATCGACCATGAGGAACTCCACCCAGGAGAGGTCTGCTGCCGGAGACCTGAGTTGGGGCGCTCCTCTGTGTCTCATGACGTATTCCGTCCAGAATACGGCTGTCTCAAGGGGCGGGCGAGGCAGGTCCAGCGCCACCCTCGACGCCTCCCTCAGGTTGCGCTCGTACCTGGTCCAGGTTGTGGTAAGATGCGTCAGAGACAAATGCAAGGTGGGGCAGGGTCAGGAGCAAGGTGGGACAGGGTCAGGAGCATGGTGGGACAGGGTCAGGAGCATGGTGGGGCCGGGTCAGGAGCATGGTGGGGCAGGGGCAGTAGCAAGGTGGAAGAGGGGCAGGAGCATGGTGGGACAGGGTCAGTAGCAAGGTGGGACAGGGTCAGGAGCAAGGTGGGACAGGGTCAGTAGCATGGTGGGACAGGGTCAGTAGCAAGGTGGGACAGGGTCAGTAGCAAGGTGGGACAGGGTCAGTAGCAAGGTGGGACAGGGGCAGTAGCAAGGTGGGACAGGGTCAGTAGCAAGGTGGGGCAGGGTCAGTAGCAAGGTGGGACAGGGTCAGTAGCAAGGTGGGACAGGGTCAGTAGCAAGGTGGGACAGGGTCAGGAGCAAGGTGGGGCCGGGGCAGTAGCAAGGTGGGACAGGGTCAGTAGCAAGGTGGGACAGGGTCAGTAGCATGGTGGGACAGGGTCAGTAGCAAGGTGGGACAGGGTCAGTAGCATGGTGGGACAGGGTCAGTAGCAAGGTGGGACAGGGTCAGTAGCATGGTGGGACAGGGTCAGCAGCAAGGCGTAGCAAAGGTTTAGGAACTGTAAGCGGGAGTAGTGAATTATATAACATCATTCAGGTCCTAACTGAACAGGGTGGTAAAGTATCAGAGTCGTATGAAACGGATTGCGGCAGACATGACCCAAAATAATGTGACATTGTATCAACACGATGCAAGAAATCAGAATATAATTATTATTTTCATCATATACCTCAGCCACAATTAACAACGACAAGGTAGTCATAGAATTTTTGAAGATAAAATTTAAGGACGCTACACAGGATATGAGAAATGAATTGTGATGACCCTCCAATACTCACTTAGGATTGGTAACGACTTCCCTAATGGTAGCGACGAGGAGGTCAACAGTTAGCTCACTCCACTCCAAAGAAAGACCCAACTCGCGGGTCACAATCATCTTGGCGTTTTTGGGCTGGTCAGCGAAGATTGGAATAGCGAGTAGGGGCGTGCTGTGGCATACTGCCTCGAGTGTGCTCAACAGCCCACCGTGAGTGATAAACAACTTGACTCTCGGGTCCGCTGAGGAGAAACAACACGGTCGGAATCGTGATCAGCTTTGAAAAGCAACACATTAACGAGGAAAAACACAACAGTGTTCGCTCTAGTATAAACCTCTCTCATCCTGCACAGAATTGTAACTTTATTCTCCACTATAACGATTGGACTACTTTGTTGACCAGACTACACACTAGAAAGTGAAGGGACGACGACGTTTCGGTCCGTCCTGGACCATTCTCAAGTCGATTGTGATCGACCATTCACAATCGACTTGAGAAGGGTCTAGAACGGACCGAAACGTCGTCGTCCCTTCTGGACCATTCTCAAGTCGATTGTGATCGACCATTCACAATCGACTTGAGAATGGTCTAGAACGGACCGAAACGTCGTCGTCCTTTCACTTTCTACTGTGTGGTTTGGTCAACATATTTCAGCCACGTTATTGTGACTCCTCGTCGGTGATTGGACTACTTCTCCAAATTTTGATTGTTATTTTATTGACAACCGACCAATCCACCTTCCTCATCTTAGGTCTAATTTTCGAATATGTTCTGGTATACTATATACTAAATAAATCTACCAATCATTTTGGGTCATATGAGTAACACCTTGACACAGGCACCTTTATTCTTGAGGTTAACTGAAAGCTTTCATCAAGATCTATATTCTCGTGTTTCATAAATTGTAAAACTTTCATTAGACTGAAAACTTGATTTCGTAAGCTAAAAAAGAGGTAACAATATAACATTTGTTAAACAAAATAGAGCTGCACTCTATTATGACAGATAAAAATGTGAAGCAAAATTAAAATATCAAACTAAAAGCAATATTAGCTAATCTGGATTCAACAACAGCTCTAATAAAGCACATTCGTTCCATTATGAAACGAATTTATTTTACGCAAACAAAAAGTTAAGAGTAAACACAAAGATGCTCAACTGTAATCTGTCGTCAAAGAAATTGTAAAGTTGAGAGTCTACATCAGCACATGCTACTGTTTTCCCTGAACCTGATGGATGAACTCACCTGGGAAAATGTTTAGTTAACATTTAACTAAGTTAACATCTTAGAAAAATCTAAGAAATCTAAGAAAATGTTTAGTTATCATCTGCATTCTAAGTTAATAACTTAGTTAGAATGCAGACGAGGAGTCACAATAACGTGGCTGAAATATATTGACAAAACCACACACTAGAAAGTGAAGGGACGACGACGTTTCGGTCCGTCCTGGACCATTCTCAATCGACTTCAGAATGATCCAGGACGGACCGAAACGTCATCCCTTTACTTTCTAGTGTGTGGTCTGGTCAACTACTTAGAACGAGTTCACTCAAGGTGCTTAGTGCTGAGGCATTTGTATTGTTGAAAATGTTGTTAATGATAGATAGTTTGAAAGTGTTGATAGACAAGCAGCATCTTGAAGCAATCACTAACCCAGAATATCCTGCTGTGGCATCCATTCTTTAATCAATACATTCTCGGACACTCCCTCCAGTTTCGACTCATACTTCCAGATGACGCGGTACTCCAGTCTTCTGAAGGCGTCCAGGAAGATTCGTCTTAATTCGTCGGGCATGGAGACGCCCGTCGCCACCGACCCCAAGCTGAAGTAGATCACCCCTCCAGGGCCAGCGCCGTCAAGCCACGACTCCACGTCCTGCGATTAGTGTTCTGGTGTAATGTTCCAGCAAGTGGACGTTCTGTCTCTCTATTTCCAAATATTCTTCATAATTATCTAAATATTCTGACTTTGACAGTCTGACACACTTCTTGACAACTGCTGTTCTTGTCTCTCTCAACGCAAGATAGTCAACCACCCAACTGGGATATAATCAGAACTTTGAATAATCAACCCACCGGTGATAATTAACCCATCGGTGATAATTAACCCACCGGTGATAATTAACCCACCGGTGATAATTAACCCATCGGTGATAATTAACCCACCTGGAGATACTAGCTCACCTGAGGAAGGCGCGAGCCAGGAACACAGTGCATGGAGCCCACCTCCACTTGTGAGGGCAGGAGGGGCCCAGGGGCACTGTTTCCCAAGTTGGAATTGAGGAGAGAGAGGCTGACGTTCCTCTCAATCTCCAGCAGTGGGGGCAGATTCGGGAAGAACTTTGATACCTGTGATTTTAACATAACTATAATATCAAAGATCACTGATTTGAGTATTATTTCCACCTTTCCCCATTATTTGTATTATAAATGGACATGTATTAGATGCTTTATAAGCATGAGTTCTGTTAACCAACCTCTCTCTGTATCTTGGGCATCATCCCCCACACACGCCAGTATCCTGCGGTGGTCAGAGTGATGTAGAGATTGTGGAGTCGGTGAAGGAGAGAGTAGGGCCGCGGGTAGTCGAAGTACTCGTTGGCGTCGCACGCTGGGTTGAGCACGTTCCCCATGACGGCGCTCTGACGGGGCTCATTACCAGCAGTCGCCAAGGTGATGAAAGGCATTCCCTCCGCGAATGGGTAAGCCATCTGGGAGTGTAATGGAGTCTATCAGGCTTGTAGGGTCAACCTATCAGTAGGTGCTGCATTTTGCGTGGATGCTGCGTGGGGAATGTAGGTGGATGTGTGTGGAGGGCGTTGATATTGAAAAGTTAGTGTGGTTTACCTGCCTTTGTAGGGTTAGAGTTTCAGCTCCTGAGCCAGACTCGTAGATTTAGTTTGGGTAACTTAGTTGATTTTAATTAAATCCACAAACTTCTACGATTAAACCCACAAACAGTGCCAGCCTCTGTTTTGATCTCTACGTGCCTTAGCTCACCTCCTTACCAGCCTGACACTGTAATGACCCGTGCTTCCATGTTCCCTAGTCCCTGCCATGTCCCCTGGTCATGGTCACTCCCGTGTTCCCTGGTCATGGTCCCTCCCATGTTCCCTGGTCATGGTCCCTCCCGTGTTCCCTGGTCATGGTCCCTCCCATTTTCCCTGGTCATGGTCCCTCCCATGTTCCCTGGTCATGGTCCCTCCCATGTCCCCTGGTCATGGTCCCTCCCGTGTCCCCTGGTCATGGTCCCTCCCATGTTCCCTGGTCATGGTCCCTCCCATGTCCCCTGGTCATGGTCACTCCCATGTTTTGAAGCATTTGACTGGCAGTAATTTCCCTGATATAACAGTTCCATAACAATGAATTATATAATTATTGACTCATATATATATATGACTTTTTGACGAATTATTTGGGAAGTTATCTTACCTTTTTACTCTATTTTTAAGCAAAACCTATGTGACCATTATTTATTTGCTCGTAAAATGTATAGTAATGATTTGAATGGGAGCTTCGTGTAATCACTATGTATAATATAATGGGATTTCTTCTCAATTATATTCACACATGCTTGTCTGTATGCCTGATGATTGCCAAATATGTATATTACATCATAAAAAACTTGAAAGTTAATAATTGACTATAAATTTACAATACAACCAATCATGATGTTTATACCAGAAAATTATGATATTAACAAACGCGAGAAAAAAATAGTTTTCTATATTTCTTGATTCTAAACAAACCGTCACTGATAAGAAAGGCTTACGTTTGCCCCCCAAAACAAATATTACCTCATTGAACAATTGATCTGTGATGACAACATCAAACTCCTTTCTCCTCCTGTGGTACTCCATTATTTTTGGCGAAGAGTAAAATTTTGAGACGAGCGGCAGGAGGTACACCTCCAATAACGACAGGGCTTCTGCAAAAGCCCAGTACGAGAGGTTAACGACCACAGATACAACGACACTTTCCCCCCCCCCAATGACCACACATTCACCTGATGAGGTACACATGTTTGTTTACTAGGCACAAACGCCTCCACGCCACCTGGGAGGTTGCGAAATACAAGTGACATGAGGGGACAAGATCTGTAGCTATAAGGGAGTCATACAGATGAGAACTGATCTGCACTCAGGCATCACCACACGCACACACACACACACACACACACACACACACACACACACACACACACACACACACACACACACACACACACACACACATCGTTCATTATGCCTCCTATGAAAATATTCTCAAATTTGCTACATACGCTATAAAAGCTTGCATTGGATCTGTTTACTAAAAACTGAAGCTGTGCAACTGAGATAATGAAAAGATCTCTTGTGGCAAATCCTTAGGTAACGTCCATCAAAAATCCTCAGAAAAAACCGACCTGCAGGATTGATCTTCTGGAACCTGCTCGCGATGCTGGTCTTATTGACGGAGACCACAACCTCGGTGATGTTGGGGTGGCTGAAAGCCGCCTTCATCGTTTGGAGAACCACCACCTGCAGGAGGACACACACACACACATACAGATTTGTTAAATGCTTTTAAATGCCAGGAACATTGCATGTTTCTTTTGCATTATGATTCAAATATATTTTGTTTATGTAGGGATATTCCAGCACAAGCCTCTAGCTACGTTTTACTTATTTCTGTTTTAGTTAGGCGGTGGATGTGTATTTATGACTCGTGTATTGCTTCTGTAAAACACAATGCGTTTGGTATCTTCTGCGCTGGTTATTCTGTTTAAATCTTGACTGATATGTAACTGCACTGTGTTAGATATAATGTTTCAGTGGTCTTTCCGGCATTTTTCTGCATTACTGACATGTCCTCTCTTCTTCTTCTTCTGGAATCTGAAATCCTATTTCCCATTTACATGGAAAATAGGCGCTTTTGTTTTTCTATTAAGAGCACTATTATTTTGTAATGTACCTTTCCTCAGAATAAGTTGTTCGTGGTTGGTTGACTTCTTGTACCAACGTGTAGAACCTGATGTTGAGACTACTACATTATGGTCATTGTACATCTACATTCCCTCTCTTACTTCCAAGTTTTTCAGCAACATCTACAATGTCATTCCCTAATGTTCCTTCATGACTTGGTACAACTTCTTGGACTGGATGGTAGAACAACGGTCTCTCTTATTAGTTGTCTAATAGATAACAGACAATAATAATAATAATGTTGTAAACATAGAAATTGTCTAAGATTTCTGTGCATATATTTTAAGCCCTAAAACACTAAATTCAGATGTTACTTCGTCTAGTGCCACTTGTGTCTTTATTCAACAGTGAAGGACCTGTGACTACTAATGCCAAATCATCAGTACAGCTTTGCAATTTAACCCCTTCTGTAAATGTCATGGACACGAAGTTTTCAGTAAGAATGTTTAATAAGACTAGGGCATGTAATTAGACTCCTCTTTGTGGAGTCCCATTCTCTTGCAACCGATAGTCTGATACTGGACTTGTAGCTTTTCTCTGTCACACATGTGACTAATGTACAGAATACAGACTAGAAGTTTTCTCCCTCGACACCTTTTTTGATTAACGTGTGTAGAATTACTCGCCAGCTTGGAAGTTTGAAAGCTTTTTCGAGATCATAGAAGATCATTTATAGCTTCATCCGAGTTAACAATGACTCGGGTGTTCCTAGCAATGTTGTTATGGGATTCAAGGCTACTGAAGAGGGCTACTGAAGAGGGCTACTGAAGAGGGCTACTGAAGAGGGCTACTGAAGAGGGCTACTGAAGAGGGCTACTATAGAGGGCTACTGAAGAGGGCTACTGAAGAGGGCTACTGAAGAGGGCTACTGAAGAGGGCTACTGAAGAGGGATACTGAAGAGGGCTACTGAAAAGGGCTACTGTAGAGAGCTACTGAAGAGGGCTACTGAAGAGGGCTACTGAAGAGGGCTACTGAAGAGGGCTACTGAAGAGGGCTACTGAAGAGGGCTACTGTAGAGGGCTACTGAAGAGGGCTACTGAAAAGGGCTACTGAAGAGGGCTACTGAAAAGGGCTACTGAAGAGGGCTACTGAAGAGGCCTACTGAAAAGGGTACATCTGGTGTTTAATGGCCGTTCCTAAGTGTAATAGTTTTTATCCCATAATCCTATTTAATGTTTTCTAAATGGGGATTTATAGTTTAATCAATATAAAAAGATATAATTTTTTTTCGTTATAAAATCAGATAAATTATTTTTCAAAATTGTTTATTGAGTATTATTGGATAGCCAAAATATTTTGTATTTATTTTAAACTTGAATTTGATTGTCATTCTTAATAATTATAAAAATCTTATATTATAAATTACAAACAAGTTAAGATTGAAAAATTAAAGAAACAAATGTTCAATATTGGTGCATATGGTATTGAATGTATCGTATATTGTATACCATTATTCAGTGTATCATACATGTGCATGTGTGAGTGGTTGAGTGTGTGAGTGGTTGTGTGTGTGCTTGTGTGTGTGTGTGATGTGTGTGTGTGTGTGTGTGTGTGTGTGCTTGTGTGTGCTTGTGTGTGATGTGTACTCACCTATTTGTACTCACCTATTTGTGCTTGCGGGGGTTGAGCTTTGGCTCTTTGGTCCCGCCTCTCAACTGTGTGTGTGTGTGTGTGTGTGTGTGTGTGTGTGTGTGTGCGTGTGTGTGTGTGTGTGTGTGTGTGTGTGTGTGTGTGTGTGTGTGTGTGTGTGTGTGTGTGTGTGTGTGTGTGTGTGTGTACACTCACCTAGTTGTACACAACTAGCTGTACTTGCAGGGGTTGAACTTCGGCTCTTTGGTCCCGTCTCACAACTGTCAATCAACTGGTGAACAGATTCCTGAGCCTATTGGGCTCTATCATATCTACATTTGAAACTGTGTATGGAATCAGCCTCCACCACATCACTTCCTAGTGCATTCTATTTGTTAACTACTCTGACACTGAAAAATGTCTAATGTCATTAGACATTAGACATTAGACACACTTTGACATGTGTGTGTGTGTGGTATGTATACTTGTATTCAAAGTTTAGGGCCGCTGAGTCATTGCTACTGTGACCTCAATATATAAAATTAGCAATCTAATATTCGAGCCAGAACGAGAGAGAGGGAGAGAGAGAGAGAGAGAGAGAGAGAGAGAGAGAGAGAGAGAGAGAGAGAGAGAGAGAGAGAGAGAGAGGGAGAGAGGGAGAGAGGGAGAGAGAGAGAGAGAGAGAGAGAGAGAGAGAGAGAGAGAGAGAGAGAGAGAGAGAGAGAGAGAGAGAGAGAGAGAGAGAGAGAGAGAGAGAGAGAGAGAGAGAGAGAGAGAGAGAGAGAGAGAGAGAGAGAGAGAGAGAGAGAGAGAGAGAGAGAGAGAGAGAGAGAGAGAGAGAGAGAGAGAGAGAGAGAGAGAGAGAGAGAGAGAGAGAGAGAGAGAGAGAGAGAGAGAGAGAGAGAGAGAGAGAGAGAGAGAGAGAGAGAGAGAGAGAGAGAGAGAGAGAGAGAGAGAGAGAGAGAGAGAGAGAGAGAGAGAGAGAGAGAGAGAGAGAGAGAGAGAGAGAGAGAGAGAGAGAGAGAGAGAGAGAGAGAAAAAGAGAGAGAGAGAGAGACAGAGAGACAGAGAGATTGAACCAGATGTCCGGGATCACCTGATGGCCGCGATCGGCAAGAGCCTCCAGCAGAGGCTTGAACATGTTCCAGTGGTTCCTCCTGATTGCTGGAACAGCCACCAGTATCTTCCAGTCGGTCTCGGGTGGTGGAAGGTTGACCTGCACGCCCCAGCAGCAGCCTGCCAGGATAGCAGTGAGGGCAGCAGCCAAGGACCAACACAGCAGCTTCCCCATTTTCCTCTGGTGAGAGGACAATAATGCGTCAGGTGGAGATGCGTATCTCGGGCGGAACTTTGCGTGTCGACAAAAACTCAGGGATTGAAAGCCATGTTACAGGGACCGCAATATGCATAGCTCCCTATGCATATTGTGGGCGGTGGTGGACCCCATACCCATCCCGTGGGTGGTGGTGGACCCCATACCCATCCCGTGGGTGGTGGTGGACCCCATACCCATCCCGTGGGTGGTTGTGGACCCCATACCCATCCCGTGGGTGGTGGTGGACCCCATACCCATCCCGTGGGTGGTGGTGGACCCCATACCCATCCCGTGGGTGGTGGTGGACCCCATACCCATCCCGTGGGTGGTGGTGGACCCCATACCGATCCCGTGGGCGGTGGTGGACCCCATACCCATCCCGTGGGTGGTGGTGGACCCCATACCGATCCCGTGGGCGGTGGTGGGGCCCATATCCATCCCGTGGTGGTGGTGGACCCCATACCCATCCCGTGGGTGGTGGTGGGCCCCAAACCCATGCCGTGGGTGGTGGTGGACCCCATACCCATCCCGTGGATGGTTCTGGATAGACATTCTCGGGGAAAAACCCGACATTCTTTAATAATCTTTAATACAAAATACAGTTAATATTGCTGTTGTTCTTATACTAACAAATTAACCCATACTAACATAAATTATTTTATTTACCCATGACAATAAAATTAGACTTGTGGCATTTTCCCGGAGAAAAAACGCGAAATGATTGCCACGCCACTAAAAAAATATACTATTAAAATATCAGAAATCACTTAAAACACAAGTCTAGCGTTAGAATCAATAAAAAAGTATTCTCTATGACCAGATCAAATAAAATCATAAAAAAATCAACGCCTCCCAACCTTCGTCCATAAGTGGGCAGACAACTGAATTGGTTTCTAGTGGTGTGACTAGACCGGTGAAGGAGGGAGGGCGCCACTGTGAATTTAACCGCTATTACCCGCAAACCCGAGCCATCTTAAGAACATAAGAACATAAGAACAAAGGCAACTGCAGTAGGCCAATTGACCCATACGAGGCAGCTCCTATCTTGACGTAAATCTACTACCACAACCTCATCAATATGGGAGTACCTCGTTTCCGGTTAGATAAAATTAATTACCTGTTGTTGACCTGACCACACACTAGAAGATGAAGGGGCGACGACGTTTCGGTCCGTCCTGGACCGAAACGTCTGCATATTTACCTATTATTACAAGGCCCTATAAGTAGAACAAACCGGTCATAAGGCGGGCGATCACCCGAAATACGATAAGACTCTCATCTAAATAAGAATCTAGGGTAAGAATCTAAATAATAATATGTCATACAATATGTGTTATTAGGATGTTATTTGCATGAGTTACATTGTATACTTCTGGCAGATCTTCTGGGGCAACCTGCAGAACTTAGTAGCAACAACTTGGTGCAACACGACAATGGGCTCCAGGGACACGTGACCATAAATCAGTCGAGCTACCCAAGTGTTCTACGCCTCTACCTGGGATGCTCCCGGACGCAGGTTCGAATCCTCGTCACGGCCCTTGTGGATTTGTTCCTCTACCTGAATGTTGAAGCCTTCTAGTCAGATATTTCTAGTCAGTGAATTTCCTATGAATCGATAATTTTCGATTGATAAGCTATAATTAATAACCCCAATTGTGTAGGATATGACTTCTGGGAGGAATTTAATACCATACAATCCATTACCGAAAGAAACAAATTAATTTTAAATTAGAATTCAATAAATAAATTAATAATTAAAATAAATAAAAAATTCCACGATTCAGAATTCCCCCACAGATGTCGTGTCAAAATTATAGAAGCAGTTTTACAAGAACGATCTTCCATTTGATCGCTTTTAACATTGCTAATTATAAACGGCCGATTATATGAACAATGCTCAGCAACATTGGGCATTTTTTGTTCGAAAGCTTATTCAGCTCAACAGATAAAACTGTTGACAATAATTAAGCGTCATTAAAATATCGTTACACGCGCTAATTTATTGCCGGCTATTATAAATGATAATTAAATTGTTGTCCTAAGTTTTGTTATAATTACCTTACACTGTTAAGGGATTGTTTGTACAATGAAATTCCATATAAATCTGTAACGGGTAATTTTTCAGTTTTGAACAGCAATATTTTGATGATAAACGTTCAACATTTATCCTTTAGGTGTGTAAATGGTATTGAATGTGAATGAATGTGTTATTAGAGGCCTGGGTCACCTGATAACACGCATTCCAGCCTTTTCCTTACAATAGATCTGCCAGTAGAACAGTCAAACCGTTTGGGGACTAAATTATGTATTATGATTAAATATATATTTTTACTTTAATAATACATTTATCAAGCTACCCAGATCTGCAGTAAAAAGTAGTCCTGGGATCAGTACAATATTTTATGAAGGACTAAGCTATAATTTCATTAAAAGAAATGATCCACTAAGTCGAATTAATATTTTTTCACGTGAACTTGTCTCTAAGGTAATTTTCCATACATCACACTAACCAGACGTGAAAAACTTAATTACAAACCTGTCAGTTGTGAGGCGGACAAGTCAGCCACTTGGAAGGCTGACTTGCCTGCCCTCACTTGCCTGACTTGACTACTGACCGTCAAGCAGGAGTACCTACCAATTAGAGACTACTCAGATCAATCAGAGATCAGGAGAGGATCAGTAGAGTGAGGACGAAGCGCTGTGGTATTTGGGGCGTAGAGTGATTGTGGTGTGTGGGACGTGGAGTGGCTGTGGTGTGTGGGACGTGGAGTGGCTGTGGAGTGTGGGACGTGGAGTGGCTGTGGTGTGTGGGACGTGGAGTGGCTGTGGAGTGTGGGACGTAGAGTGGCTGTGGAGTGTGGGACGTAGAGTGGCTGTGGAGTGTGGGACGTGGAGTGGCTGTGGAGTGTGGGACGTGGAGTGGCTGTGGAGTGTGGGACGTGGAGTGGCTGTGGAGTGTGGGACGTAGAGTGGCTGTGGAGTGTGGGACGTAGAGTGGCTGTGGAGTGTGGGACGTGGAGTGGCTGTGGAGTGTGGGACGTGGAGTGGCTGTGGAGTGTGGGACGTGGAGTGGCTGTGGAGTGTGGGACGTGGAGTGGCTGTGGAGTGTGGGACGTGGAGTGGCTGTGGAGTGTGGGACGTGGAGTGGCTGTGGAGTGTGGGACGTGGAGTGGCTGTGGAGTGTGGGACGTGGAGTGGTGTGGAGTGTGGGACGTGGAGTGGCTGTGGTGTGTGGGACGTGGAGTGGCTGTGGTGTGTGGGACGTGGAGTGATTGTGGTGTGTGGGACGTGGAGTGGCTGTGGTGTGTGGGACGTGGAGTGGCTGTGGTGTGTGGGACGTGGAGTGGCTGTGGTGTGTGGGACGTGGAGTGGCTGTGGAGTGTGGGACGTGGAGTGGCTGTGGTGTGTGGGGCGTAGAGTGATTGTGGTGTGTGGGACGTGGAGTGGCTGTGGTGTGTGGGACGTGGAGTGATTGTGGTGTGTGGGACGTGGAGTGGCTGTGGTGTGTGGGACGTAGAGTGATTGTGGTGTGTGGGACGTGGAGTGGCTGTGGAGTGTGGGACGTGGAGTGGCTGTGGTGTGTGGGACGTGGAGTGGCTGTGGTGTGTGGGACGTGGAATGACTGTGGAGTGTGGGACGTGGAATGACTGTGGAGTGTGAGGTAAGGAGGTCCTGTGGCAGGCGGGTCGAGGGACGCTGTGGTGTTAACGATGCTCCACCTCTGGCTACACTGAGAACATATAATTATCACCACTACAAAACTCCTCAGAAAACGGGTCAGGTAAACCAACGCGAAACTTCACCACAACAATGCTCTTCTACTTGTTTTTATCTACCTTTCTGTTATGGCTTAATAATTTACAGTTAAGTTTTATTTCACAAGTACAATCAGGTTTACTACTCCCACCTTTTCCTGCATTTATTATGATGAGTTTGGACTGGATGAGTTTGGATGTATTTACGAAGAACAAATATTATTAAGATTTCGAGAAAACTAAACTTGTGAAAAGAGCCTCGAAGATCTGAGTGAGGTAATAATTACAAATAAATTACTCAGGATAAGGTTAGACACCCATCCCACAAATCTGAAAATAAAGAAATACACGACTTAATACAGCAGCCAAAACATGTGCTGTATCATCACAAGTGGGCGAGGTATTTAATTATCAGCCAGGTTGTTGTGTCTACTCGCTCAACAGAGTTACTACTGATTGATGATTGATGAAGATTAAGCCACCCAAAAGGTGACACGGGCATGAATAGCCCGTAAGTGGTGGCCCTTTTGAGCCATCACCAGTATCAATAGATGATACTGGAGATCTGTGGAGGTTACTACTGCATATACCACCATGTTTATAACAGTAGGAGAGGTGCAGACGGCCAGTCACAATAACCTGGCTGTAGCTATGAAGATGTACAATAGCCAGATAAATAGGCAATTCTGAGTGGCTAATGCCCCTAAACCCCTGTGTGGTTTAGTATTCAGTATTAGAGGTGTTTGCAGTGTAGTTCCAGCCCGAGCCACTGTACTTTACTTTTACTGCACAAAGTGAGAAGAAAATTGTTTTCTTCCGGTGGAATATTTTCCTAATTTGTGTCAGCTGATAAAACAGACTATGTAAGTATTTGCAATTTTACTCGAAACATTTACCTAAACGCACTGTAGAAAATAAAGTGAACAATATACTATGGTCAATAAACAATTAAGAATAGGCAATTATATTATTTAATTATCACCGGTGGTCACTAGTTGAAACGCCACGTTTTTAAGTTTAACTTTTTACTACAAATATTTTGTTCGTCATTTAAAAAGAGTTTAATGTTTACTGATTTTTCTTTAGAGAAATTTCTTCCGCAGCAAGTATGATATTCGGGTCATGCTAGAATTACAATCATTGATTGATCATAAATCACTCTGGCACTGCAACAACATGAGAATAGTAATATTTTAACCATTTTCTATATAACTCCCGAATAGGAGACAAACCGGAAGGGACAAAGCTCTGTGATCCAATAGAGCCCACAGAGTAAATTCTGTATGTGCAACCATTATATGAGTTATTTTACAACTGTACAGACGAGGAGTCAAAATAACGTTGCTGAAATATGCTGACCAGACCACACACAATAAAGTGAAGAGACGACGACGTTTCGGTCCGTCCTAGACCATTCTCAAGTCGAAGTAAAAAATCGACTTGAGAATGGTCCAACACGGACCGAAACGGCGTCGTTCCTTCACTTTCTAGTGTGTGGTCTGGTCTACAACTCTACATCTGCGAATTGAGAGTTTCAATTTCAATTCAATACTTTTATGAGAGCGGAAGGATTCTGGAGAGCCAGACAGCCAAGAACAATACAAGTTAATTATTTCAGATGATGGATGACTTGGCTTGGGCCGTGAGGAGTCAGGAGACGGGAAGGAGACTGCCTCTCCACCACCAGTCTTGGTCTCGCAGGTGCCACCACCAGTCTTGGTCTCGCAGGTGCCACCACCAGTCTTGGTCTCGCAGGTCCCACCACCAGTCTTGGTCTCGCAGGTGCCACCACCAGTCTTGGTCTCGCAGGTGCCACCACCAGTCTTGGTCTCGCAGGTGCCACCACCAGTCTTGGTCTCGCAGGTGCCACCACCAGTCTCGATCTCGCAGGTGCCACCACCAGTCTCGATCTCGCAGGTGCCACCACCAGTCTTGGTCTCGCAGGTGCCACCACCAGTCTCGATCTCGCAGGTGCCACCACCAGTCTCGATCTCGCAGGTGCCACCACCAGTCTCGATCTCGCAGGTGCAACCAACAGTCTCGATCTCGCAGGTGCCACCACCAGTCTCGATCTCGCAGGTGCCACCACCAGTCTCGATCTCGCAGGTGCCACCACCAGTCTCGATCTCGCAGGTGCCACCACCAGTCTCGATCTCGCAGGTGCCACCACCAGTCTCGATCTCGCAGGTGCCACCACCAGTCTCGATCTCGCAGGTGCCACCACCAGTCTCGATCTCGCAGGTGCCACCACCAGTCTCGGTCTCGCAGGTGCCACCACCAGTCTTGGTCTCGCAGGTATTCATTTACCTCACATACATATTCATGCAGACTTTAGCTATGTGCGCATGAATAATACTCAGGTTCCTACCCATGGACTTCTTGCCTAATTGTGTGCACGTGGAGTAAGCTCTCGCCTCTTGGCTAAACCCATATATTTTGTGCAAATATACATTTTAAATTTTGAATTGGGATGGCTTCCACTTTCTCCTCTTCCAGCTCAATCCACATGATCACTAATCGTATAGTAAAGGAAAATGTCCATATTACAATTGAGTTATCTGTGCTTAACTACTTCTAACTCTCGTCTATTCAAACGAGACGAGTTGCTGCACGAACATGAAAATAATGTTTTCTGAGTTGCACGAGACTTTAAATATGTAATGATGAATCACTTCCTCCTTATTCTGACCATTCGGCCTTTACGGGTATATGGAATATACAAAGCATTTACCCAATTGCCTTCTTCAGTTGTATTCCTCGCCAGGTGTCCGAAGGTAGTGAAGTCGAGTCTGCCACATAACTCAAATTAATTGTATTCGCAGTATAATGAATCTCAGTTTGTTCTGAAATATTGACGTGAGTGCATGAAGGACACCTGTCCACTCATCACTCTAGCTCTTCCACCACAACCTCACTTCTCGTCTCCAGCAGTGAGTGCTTCTCCTCCCCAACAAATGCCATCCTTTATACCCGCCCTTCAACTCACACCATATTATTCTATCGAAGTTTTTATAGTTTTACTTTATTATCCACTCCTCCCTTTCTCCTACTTACAGATGGTCCACTATCTATGGTCTCCGGCTGCTACAGGTTCTTGAGGTTTACTGACGAGAACAAGCAAATGTCTCTACAACACCCACACATCAATTACTCCCACAGACATCTCAGTTACACCCACACGTACATACACATATGCAAGCGATGAGTCACAATAACGTGGCTGAAGTATGTTGACCAGACCACACACTAGAAGGTGAAGGGACGACGACGTTTCGGTCCGTCCTGGACCATTCTAAAGTCGATTTTGAGAATGGTCCAGGACGGACCGAAACGTCGTCGTCCCTTCACCTTCTAGTGTGTGGTCTCGTCGACACACACACACATATATGTCTCTACATGTGTCACCCACACGCATGTACCTTCAACTAAATCTACAAGTAGATGAGTTCATCATCCACGAGGACTTCCAACAATATCGATGCATGATTGAAGATCATTAGCAAAATGAATGAGCTCCAAAGTCATGTATGCAAATCCTGATTGGATTGCAAATAAGGCCAGCAAACTCAAGGAAAGAACAGAAGATCCATTTGCAATTGCAAATTTTTAGAGAACTTTTGTACTGAAAGAGAAAAACGAGAAGAGAGAGAGAGAGAGAAGTTAAAGAAACTCCACTGGTCAAGAAATTGTGGAAGTTTAAGGAGATGAAATTCTTCAACTGCCCTAATTCGACTGATTACACAATAGGCACGATAGCAGCTGGCTGAATCAAACAATAATTCCTCTCTAAAATATCCCATCTATGAACAAAGAACCAGACAGGATATAATATAAATACCATAGTTAACACATTCACCGGAAAAAAAGACTTATAATGAAAAACTTTAGCCATGATGAAACAAAATAAAAATTACTCTAACACTTAAAGTACATCTGGATTGTTCACTTGAAATAATACTAAATAAACAAATAACACTGATTTGAACTCTGTGACTCAGACAAAGATTAAACAAGTTGCATAATATTGTTGTTGTTTAAGATTCAGCTAATGGAAACAACAAGTTCCAAGTAGCACGGGCTATGGTGAGCCCGTAGAGGACTTACCTGGCACAGGAGCGGGGGTTGTATAATAGCAGGGACTACAAGGGACATTACCAAAGACCATAATCCAAAAAATGAGCTGCTTTAGCAAGTAACTTAAGAATTGAGATGTTTTACCCATGAGGAGCGCCTCACCAAGACTGAATATCGTGACTCGGACACTTGATATGTATATACCCGAAAAGCAGATAGCTAGATAGTGACCTCATTTGTGTCAACGACGAAGCTAGCAGGATAACTAAGCTGTTTAGGCCTGGCTGCAGAGGCGCGTAGCAGCAGCAATCTTACACCATCTTATCTTACGCATGACACTATGATTTATTTTTAATATTAAGGAAATAACAGAATTTAGTACAATATTAAAATAAACGTATGTGTAATTGATGAAGACTGTAGTTCAGGAAGTTGTTACTCGTCATATGAAGGGTATTTACGTGACAATATATATAGATTAAAATGTGTAACTTGATAATCAAAAGTTACTTGCTTAGCTAAGGAAAGTTTTGGGTTCAGTAAGTGAGCCCATTATGTACCTTTGTAACCTTTTCCAATATCACCCACGGGATGAGTTTGGGGTGCATAATAAATGAATAAAATCAATCAATGCTCAACAGTAAACAAAACCGAGAGAAAACAGGGGTCAGGAATGACGAAAAAGGTTTACCTTTAGGTAAGTATCTGATATACAAGTTGTAGTCACGCCCAGAGGTAAATTGTTATTGCATATATAAGGGCAAGTCCCGCAAGGGTCGTGCCTTAGATTCATATTGTTCCTGATGTGTAGGAGACCAATCTAGGAGTGAAATAAATTCCTTCCTGTTAGTGTTTGTAAATCACAACATTACATATATTCGACCCAAATAAAATAACATGTGCGCGCCATAAATAAGGCTTGCAACCCCAAGGGGTTCCTCGAGCAACATAGACCTGTGGGTCGAGCAACATAGACCTGTGGGTCGAGCAACATAGACCTGTGGGTCGAGCAACATAGACCTGTGGGTCGAGCAACATAGACCTGTGGGTCGAGCAACATAGACCTGTGGGTCGAGCAACATAGACCTGTGGGTCGAGCAACATAGACCTGTGGGTCGAGCAACATAGACCTGTGGGTCGAGCAACATAGACCTGTGGGTCGAGCAACCCCTCGTGCAACACGCGCACATGAATAATTCTCCAGCAGGTGTACCTGCGTCGAAATCTTACCTTGACTAGTGAATATAATAACCTGAAAAATATAATTATAATAAATATAATATAATTTATAAGAAATTATAATTAATATAATTGAAAAATATAATTATATAAAAATATAATTATAATATAATATATTATAATAATATAATAACGATTTAGACCAGAACTGTAAGACATAAATCTCCGAGAAATGATTGAAAGAGACACAACACATGTCACTAAAGGCGAGGAAAAAATCTTGAAAAATCTGAGGAATCTCTACGAGCCATTCACAGGTATCAACTATTAAACAACAGAGGAAGTGATTCGAGGAGACGCAAATGTAACTCAAGTACCCGAAGGTGACAGGGACACAGGAAGGCTGAGTCTGTACAAGGGTGTTGAAGACCGAGGCTGAGAGTAGACGCACTCTTCACACACACTCACAAATTGAAATTGAAATAAGTTTATTGAGGTAAAATACACACAAAGGGATGAGGTAGCTCAAGCTACTCTCACCCCGTTCAGTACATCGTGTTAATACATACATAGACACACATCACAAGCAATAAACGTATTACCGAACATTCTGAGAGATAAACATATTCATTTCCTCACTCACAGAAGTATGAGAGTATCCAATGGGTTACAGAAACATTGGTCAAGAGGCCTGAAAGTTGGCAGGCAATGCCCAGCAGTTGGAGCTCAGTTGTCAAGAACAAACTTAAGAATCATGTCGGATTAATTGAGAGATTACCTAGCTGGGTGCAGGCAAGCTGTCAAGTGTAACAGACTACACAAGCACACAGCAGAAACTATGTCCATTCATCGTTTTAAAGTCAGATATAACAGAGGGTCAGGATCCATGGTAGGAGTGGGGCGTTACATCATAGACTATGATAAAAAATGAACCATTTTAGAGATAAATCTAAACTCACACTGCATGAAATGGCAAAACATCCTATTTAAGAATAAAATACCTGAAATCCTTGCACTGAATCCATGTTTCGCTGATATGAATTAGCGAAAAGAACAACCATTAATGTATATTGTTGAACTGTAAATACATAGCTACTGAAATGGAATAATCTCTATAACTAGCTGGCATTATATTATACGGTGTTCAGGGTAGATGTAATTGTTAACGTAATAATATTCGTTGAAGTCTGATAAAGGCCTTTTGTGCCCTTTGTAATTCTTTTTTGCGCTACCGCTCACAGGATGAGTATGGGGTGTACAACAACCTATCCACCTCCGGTGGTAAGAATCTAAATCAGTTGAAGACAGGGAAAGTTTGTTAGATAAGTACACACACACACACACACACACACACACACACACACACACACACACACACACACACACACACACACTGAAGGAAGAGGTTTTAAAACCAGATCCATCCACAATATTAGAAATAAATATGATGAAAACGTTACCGTTGAGAGAGGTAATTAGCTCGTCTGGTATGACGCAACTACGAGGCGGGCATGAAGAGCTAGAGCTCACTTCTCTGTAGTCACTGATAGGTAAGCACGCCCCCACACACCACCTCCACCAGTCTCTGCATTGACTGTCTGGGGTGAGGTGTATGTGTGTGGGGGGGTGACTGGGGTGAGGAGTGTGTGGGGGGATGGGGGGTGACTGGCCACCACCACAACCCCCCCCCCCAACATTCACCACAGTCATTTAAAGTCGTCACTAATCACCTTCACCTGGCAGTGAAGAAACATCAACACAGCTCCTGCCATAGCAATATTGACTTGCACCTCGACCCTTAATTGCTATCAATAATTCCTCTCTCTCTCTCTCTCTCTTAGTGACGACACGCGGCATGGTCGTCAGGTCCGAGGCAAATTATCCTCCTTTATTATTAACACTGGAGAAGCGATTCGTACTCTGTAACACCCGATAATCTAACTCAGTTACATTTGTTGTGGTCTAAATTTTCAGTTATGGGCAACCAACTCCAGTATGCAACAAACCTCTATTGGGATCTTCAATGTTCTTTGCATATTGGGGGTAGATT